TTTGGTAGGTGTTTAGCACCAAAAAATTCATTTAGTAAGGCCACAACAAGTTTCACATCTAATCTGTCCAAATCTAAGGTTTTCAAAAACAAGGCAGTCACCGTATTTTGATCATAACTCACTCAATTTAACTTGGATTTGGGCATCATTGATACTTTTAGAAAATAAATTCATAGGGCTAAAATTTCACAAAAGAAATCGTTTTAAGTTTCAGCATGCAACTGGCTCGAAATTAAGCCTAGAGTTGCAGCATCATCAAATCATTTCGGAAGAACGGAGAAACAGGGCAGCTGAATTCAGAAGAGTGGTGCGGTTCACACACATGGAACTAGAACGTTCATTATATACCGTTGGAAAGATGTGTATGTCTAGTTTCAAATGCTGCTAACGACACTTGATTTCGACGTCGGAGTACAGAGTTATGGACGAAATACGAACACTGGTTTGGTTATGATAGCACCCGTTTCCAGATTACCAGCTTTGGGAAATAAATTCTTTTGATCAACCAAAACTCAACATTTTTCAATGAAAATTTGTACACAACTTCTACAACATGTAAACAACACAATCAAGCCATTAAATCCTCAAATTTCTGCATTAAAGTGGCCGAACAGAGCAGGGGCAAAATGGTCAGATTTGGCCTTTGCGCCTAACGTGAGTTTCGATCAATTTTCCATCAACAAACCACTGATTTAAACACTAATTCCACATTATAAACATCATCAAGAACAAAATCAGTAGCAACCCAAGAGTGTGAATTCATAGAGCCCACTTTTCCAATTTTCTAACATCCACAACAACCCATAAGAAATCCAGAGCTAAAAGATATACTAGAACTTCCAAAAATCAAAGTTAGAAGGCTGGATTAAGACTTACTCTTAGTTGATGTCTAAGTCAGAGATGCGGTCCTTCCTTGCTCCTAAGTGAGCCGTGAAAATCCTCCCTTTTAGCTAGATGTGAACTCCAAGGCTTAGGCTAAGTGGTGCTAAATTTTGAGAAGATTTGGTAGTGATTTGAATGGTTTTTGTAGAGGAAATGTTGAAGAGCTTTCGGTTGTCTCTTGGCTGTCTGCTATCCGTCCACGGCAGCTAGAATAAATGACATGTTGGTCTGATTCCTTTGCGTACAAATGAAGCTTGCCGTCTAATATTTTAAGTACGTAAAAATCAATTGCAACTAGTGCGCCTACGCGCGCGTTTTGTATTCGATTTCTCTTAAGTTTGTTGCACTAGTGCACTAAACCTCTTGGGCACTTACATTCATATAAATATTATTCATTCTTAATTGTCCCAAAATAATGGTCCAAAGTCCCTCAATTAAGCGCGCACGTGAAAACATGTATTTCCAATTTAGGCGCAATAAAATGAAACCTTCGACAAATTCTTATAACGATCGTACCACTCACTATCACTTGAGTACTTAAACCTAAATTTACCTATTTTAGGACCATTGTATATGTCTCAAATTTTTGAACTTATTGTACTCCCAATTGGCTATAGTTTTTCAGACACGTTTTCACTTTACACTAATCAAGTTTTTAAGAAAATAATTCTTGAAATTAGACGTTTTTCTTTTTTTTAAAAATATAACGAAACTATAAAACCATGTACTTAGGTCTAATAAGGCTAGAAATTATCATTCGTGGCAAAAATCCAAATAAATAATTAATTAAGCTAAAATTAGGAATTTTAATAATAATAAATTTTCGAGTCCTTGCAATTAAACCTATATGAATTAAACCTATTATTGCAATTTGAATTAAACCTATATGAATATATCGGTATCCTTTGCTTAAATATTTTTGAATTGTACTATGATTTAATAATGGAATAGATTGATATTCTTCTTGAATAGATATTGTTTCTTCATGTGTTTTAACTGATAGAGCTGTTTTGAAATCTAGAGGACCTATTCTATAGATATGTTCTAATTTTTCTTCTGAAATAGTCCAATCTGAATTATTTATAGGCATATGATATTCATGACTTTGTACTATATTAGCTTGCTTTGAATTAGATCCTATTTTTAATTGTCTAAGAAATGCAGCCATGTTCAATATTTATTTAAAAGTTTACCTAATCAGGAACAACTGAGCACTATGCCGGGAACATCCTACCTTGGACTTACCAACGATCTAACAAGGCATCAAAGTCTTACCAATGATTTCAGTAAAATTTTAATTAAATATGCAAACATAAATGCATAAATTAGCAAATTTAAAATAGAAAATAATTCAAATAAAGTAATAATAATTCAAAGTCTAAATCGGTAGGTGGCTCTGATACCACTTCTACCCAGGCTAGTATAAAATTGGACTTACTGAAAATTTAGAGTTGCCTTTGATAACGGAAGCTGATGTTTGTTGAATCCTTGTACTTCTTATTAGAATAGTTGGAGAAAGATACAAAAGTAGTTGAATGCAAAGAGTGGTTGAATAGAGAGATTGGGAGATTTTTCTAAGGAGTTTACACTAGAATGTTTCACCAATGATTTGTCTTTTGATTTGGGATCTATTTGTAGAATCGTCTCGTCTTGCATTTCATCTTCATTTCAGTTTCATTTGCTTTCTTTTGAAATATGGCCGACATCTTTCTTCAAAAGTCATTTGGGTCTTGTCCGCATGGTCCCCCGAAAGGATCAAAAGTAGATTCGGATGATCCAGCTGACTCTTCAATTTTGTCGGTTTCTTCGTTCTTATCCTGCTTTTGCAAATAATCCAAATATTCTTTGAGTATCTCCGAATTCTGCATCATCTTTTTTATCAAAAAGTCGTTTGTAATTGCCTCGGATGCCATATTGACAACTTTTTCTTTGTCTTTTCTTTTTGGAGTGGTTGAAGTGGTTGTCATTTGTGTAGTTGTTGGAGTGGTTGAAGTGGTTGGCTGACTTGTCCACTTGAGTTTGTCTCCGGTGGTTAGAAATCTTTTCACATTTGCTTGATCTCCAAATTCTTGATTGAATCCTGTCCACCATTTAATTTTGAATTCTCTAACTAGTGACATTGGAAGTGATTTTTCTAACTCTTGATAAATTTTGAAACTCCAGCAAAAAATCCATGGTACTTTGAACTCCATATGAAATAATATTGGCCTTATATACTCTTCCCCCTTTGCTTTTTTGAGATATGTCTGAAATCCCATGGCCACATTTGGAGGTAGAATTTCTTTTTGGGGGCCGAACCATTGCCACCAATGATTAAACCAAATTAGAAATTCCCTGTTACAACTTTCTTTGAATGTGAAGAACCATGAATGGTTGAATGGTCTGTATAAAAAAGCACGATACCATGCCATTTGGTAATCTTGATATGTAAATCCATCTGGAATGAATCTTATTGAGAATAATTTTTTGGAATAAAGAGAAGTCCATTCATTAGGTGAACAAACTTTCTTTATTATACACTTTGAATGGCTAATTATATTTGGATTTTTTCTGTCTGGAATGGGGAATATTTCTACAGATTGAGTATCTGTAAGAATTAATTCATAATAATCCAAATTTTTTGAAGGATCATCAGGTTGCCAATAACACTTTTGAGGAAAGATTCTTTGAGTAAGCTGATTGAGTGTAGAATATAATGGTATTTCTTGGAATCTGGTTAAAGTAATATGCTGATGGAATGGTTTAGTAAAGTAGGTATTTTCAATAAATTTTTCTGGGGTTTTTGGCTTTTGTTGAATTGGTCTTATTTGGGATGAAGTTGGGGTGCAAATAGCTTGACTGTAAGTTAAGGCTGGAAAATCTTATAATAATTGAAATCTATGCAGTAGTTATGCTTAATAGAAAATTATTAAACCATTTTTACAGTACATAATTTCTCCTAAAATTTGTAACATTTACCATGACCTCTAACCTTGACATCGTTATTTAATTTACCTTCTAAATTTAATTTAATTTTCTTATATTAATTGTTATACTAATTTTATCATTTTTGTTATTATATTATTTCTCATTTTGTTTAGGCTTTTACTCTTATTATTTCTTGTGTCTCAGATGTAAATTTATTAAAACTTTATCATCTTATTAGATTCATAGGTGTTAATTTATAAAAATTTTGATACATAAACAAGTAATATTCTATATATAACTAGGAAGATTTGTTGTTATTATTATACAAACTTTCAAACTTTTCAAAAATTGAAAATAATTAAAAACTTATAGTATGACAAAATTTTATTACATATTTTACGAGATTATGTGAAAAGTCAAACTTTTTCCATAGTATTTTAAAATATGTAAATAAATTTTTTCAAATGATAACTATAATCTTGTATTATGCAGGTATATTATGAGTACTTACTAACTAAGGTACTAAAAATTAATCATTAATAAAACATCTTATCATTATTTCAAATAAATTCCCTAACACTAGTTTGAAATGTGTTTTAAAGTAAAATAGTACATGTGTCTCATAAATCAATAAGTTTTGATTATTAATCAATTTTACCATATTATCAGTAAGAATTACTATTTATGTATTAAAACTTACTATTACTTGAATTAAACTTACACTATAAAAAGTAAGTTTGGGATATAAAGTAGTAATTTATTTATTTAAAAAGTAAGTTTAATATTTATTTCAATTTACATTTTGAAGTATAAAAGTTACTAATTTATTACTGTTAACTTACTATTTTAGATGGAAAACTTACATTCTTATTTTTAAGTGTTATCCTATTTAGGTGGATAGGCCTATCAAATAATCAAATGGCCGCTAAAAGTAAATAAAAAATAAAACGAAAATGGTCATATAAGTGTTATCCTATTTATGTTTCAAAAAGTAAATCGAAATAAAAATGAAAGTTACTTTTTTAAAAATTAAATTACTACTCTACATTCGAAACTTAGTTTTGTGGGGAGTAAGTTTAGTTCAAGTAATAGTAAGTTTTTATAGATTAATAGTAAATCTTGTTGAAAGAATAGTAAATTTGGTTAATCATCAAAACTTACTAGTTTGTAGCATAAATTTACTATATTACTTAAAGAAACTTATATGAAACAAGTATTAGGAAGTTTATTTAAACTAGTGCTAAGATTTTTTTATTAATGGTTGAAACTTAATATTATAGTTAGTAGTTGTTGGTAACATAAATGTATAATAATGATTGTATGTTTCATTCATAAATGTTTTGCGTTTTAAGCATTTTAATAAATGTATGTATCATTTATAAATGTTATGTGTTTTAATAAATTTATTTTCTAGGTCACAAGTATAAAAGGTAAAGTGATCGTATCTAATGTAGCATAATCTTTTAAAATTATAGTAAATTTACCCATATATTAAGTTTCGTGAGTTTCAAATATATTTCGTATCATTCACAATATGGATTTACATGCACATTTTTTATGAAACTTACTTTTAATTGGCAAATAGTATGTAAATTATTATAAAATATCATTTTATAATAATCATAATTTTTATAGGTGAATGGTATTTTAGCTGCTAAAATTGTCAATTTATAAATGATCAAATCTTACTACTTTATGATGATTGGTTTACATGCAGCAATGATTGTGGTGTATACGTTATTAACTTCATGAAGTCATCTGAAGTGGAACAAATGAGTTCAATCATGGTATAGTTTTATAATTTAATATGAGTTTTTTGTGGTGAATAATTATGAATGTCAATAAACTGTTATCTTTACTTGCACGGTTAACTCGCTAATTCTAGTTGACTTTGTCATGAAATTTCAGTTTCACTCCGAGACTGAACGTTTTAACATTGCAATGGAATTGGTCCCTACACCCTAAGAATGCATGGGGATTTCTTCTAGAAGATCATTTGCAGAGAAGATGAACAATGAAAGTATTCATAGTTGAAAAAAAAAATTCTAATTTATCTTTGCTATTTCTAGCTGAATAACAAGTACCTAGTAAGGCAGAAGAACGTTTCAAGTCTTGTTGCCACTTTATTTTATGGGCCCTTAATTTTGACGTGTACACAAACTTGCCATGGACTGCAGTCAAAGCACTACTGCTTGGTTCTAAGCTCAAACTGCTCCTTTTAGCTCAAAATGCTCAAAACCCTGTAGCGCTCGAGTGCATATGACAAACACTAATTTGCTGCGACACTAATGGGACATACCTGTGATAAAGGGAACAGTGATCCATCCACCTTTTTTTTGGTGGGATTGGAAAGTTGACCTGCTTGGTTCTTCTGTGTCCATGGATGCAGGAATTAATTGTTAATATGAGGCAGGTGCCTAGCTAAAAGTTTGTCCCATTATTCCTAATTGGCAGATTATCATTAAATAGAAAGGCGGATTGTCGTTTACGAGTAAAAACTTCTAATGCTCGCAGAAATAAATAAGAGTACGTGCTCCTACAACAGAATGGATGTTACACCGCCATTAATATGGTAAGGGCATCCTCCTGAACTTAAATCACAATTAGAAACGAACCATATGCTTGGTTTCAAACTCAAAAACTCATTTCGAAAGCTCGAGAGTTTCGAAATTCCTGCTTCATGGATACAAGCAAATCACATAAACGCACAGGTACTTGGTTAACACAGCAAAAAACTCCACGGGAAAGTTCATGTCGTGCTTATTTCTTAGAAGGAAATTGCAGACTATTAGTATAGCATAGCAGTCACAACACTTCCACAACACATCTTCAAGTTTTCCGAGATCTATCCAGTTTAAAGCCTAAAAAACCGTGTGCTGAGTATTGTATAACATGAGTATTTGAGTTGCTTTTCGCGTTCTGCTCATCAAGTAAGCCAGTCCAATTTGAAGTAAACAACAAAATCTACATGCACAAGACATTTGATATGAAATTGGTAGTTCAAAATAGGAGAAAACGGCTCATTTTGAGCATCAGAATGAATCTACTCACCTATTTATTTAATACTTGGAATAAACAAAGGTCCATCTAATTCAAATTGGCCAACAAGTCACTAGAAAATAGGATTTCACCTCCTTACATTGAAATGCAATGCTGGATTTAAAGTTTCCATGCAACGTGTTCTTCCACCTATGGCCTTAAATATCGGAATTCCAGCCTAATTATAATGAACCGCACTTGCAGCAACTAGATTAATCTGAAAGAAGCAACAGCCGGCAGAGAATCAGAGCATATCATCATAAGGAAAATCAATCATTTGATGCTTACATCGGCTTATGTCTCTATTGCGTGTCCAGGTTCATGCATGTAGTTTGAATGTTTAACCACTAACAAAAATAGCAACCTGAGATTTAATATCATTTACTAACTTTTAATAATTGATACTTACGTATCAAATTAAGCTGGCAGGACACTAGATATAGCTATCTAAGCATGACAAGATTACATGGCCAAGAACTGAATTTAGAGCACAAAGACTTTGGCTTCAGAAATCTAAAGCAATCAAAAGGCTAGTAACTTGATTTGAGAATTTGATCACCAGCATCAAGGGCTCTGATATCACTATCAAAAGCTTCAGTTTGGATTGAAATTTGTGGTTTACAAACCCAAGAGCACTTGGATGCTAACAATATCTGAAATTTGATCACCAAACTTTTTTCCAAGCAAGCTGAAATTATTCACATTAAAACAAGTAAACACCAGAAATTGCAAACTAAGGAGATTATGTTCAGATTTACAATCAAAACGCATTAAACTACCTTCGAAGAAACTTAAATCATCCTAAAAGCTTTGAGCAAAGACGTGCAAAAACATTTGTACTCTCTCAAGAATAAAATTCCTTAATGGTCTTGGCTGAAATCTGGTTCATTCACTACAAAACCATCACAAGATTTGTATTAAAAAAAGGCCACAACAACACATAATCATAGCAAATAAATAACATAAAACTTAGTCGTGAAGAAGGAAAAATGTACCTGAATACTTTTCGTCTCCTAACAAGCTAGTGTTTTGTACATGACTTTGGATTAATGAAGGATTGCATGCCCACATTAATGCCTATACAAATGCAAATAGAGCACCATTATATTTCATGCCTTCACACAAAAATAAATAAAAGCAAGCTATACATTACCTGACCAGGAGGAATGATCTGAAACCAATTACTATCCATTAATTCCTTATTGCATCCATGCTGTGAATATGATTGCAATAGGCCATCGGATGATCCTATCAGATTCAAATTTACATTCTCAACATAATTGGGTGCCCCAACATGATCATAATTGTGAGTTTCATATGCATCTGTGCACACCTTAGTATATTTTCGTCTATCATGTCCAAATGACCTGCGGGAAAAAAATTGCCAAGCACAATCCATAAACAAAAAGATTGAATTTATAAAGGCGTATATGAAGTGTACATATATAACTAACATTTTTGGCCTTCTAACATAAAGCCAATGAGTGGATGAAATTTAGCATTGCTCATTCATATCTGGTTTTGCAAAGCTATTCTAACCGTAGAATAAGTCAATTTCAAGAGTAGGTGATTACTTGCAATTTTTGCATCGTCTTCGCTTTCGCTTGTGAGTGGACTGTTTTGCCTTTTGTCCCTTTGTAGCAATAACAATTGGACCAAGAGAAAGTATGGACCAAAGTGGAAACCTTTGCCTGGGAATTCAATCGTATCGTTGGAATTGAGAACTAAATAAGAAGAAGACAGATGACTTTAAAGAGATAGGTGATACCCGAAAGTGTTTCAGGAACCCAAAACCGTTTTCAGCAACCCAAAATCATTTTCAGAAACCGGTGATTTTTTCACTTAAATATGTACATTTTTTACTTTTAGTATTAGTAAGTTTAGTTTAAACATAAGTAAATTTTGTCAAATAATAAGTAAATTAAATTACTCAAAGTGTAAATTTCTATTTCTGACTAAAACTTATCTTTCAGGCATATACTTACTAGTTTTAATTAAAAACTTACTTATCTTCTCGACTTGGCAACCCGTTTCTTTTCTAGGTGATTAGAACTCCATTCTCTCTATATTACAAACCATCATCAAACTAATTGAAAACCTCAATTCTCATATAAACCATTCATCTGAATTTTGTTCCAATCAACCCATTCAACAGATTTATGTTCCAGTCTAATCGTTATGATATAGCAATGGCATTAACAAACTATTTTGACTCTCCCGGTAAGGGTTTACGTATTAGTAATTTTTTAGGAGGAAGATGAGTTATTCATATGTCCAAAATATCGAAACAACCAGCATAATCTAATCCTTAGTTCAATGAAAGTCACAAATTTGCGGGTAGGTAGATTAGATTATGTTGAATGCCTTTGGCTCTTTACAATGAAATTCAAAATTTTTTCTCATGACAGAGCAAAGATGGTGATATAATTGATTGTCTATATCTATCAACAACCAGCATTTGACAATCCTTTGCTCAAAGACCACTGGATTCTGCAGGTTTGCCCCATGCAACACCACTCAAAAGAAAAATAAACAAAAAAAAAGCAAAAATATGAAGTATTGATGGTCGGAAGGAAGCTATATGTCTTTCTTTTGCAGATGAGACCAAGTTATCAACCAGAACTGGGATTTACTGAGAATAAATTTTCCAACATTAAGTCCACTAACAATGAGCTTGAACAGAAACCAATCAGTCAGTTGTTGCAATTGGCCAACACAGTTTTCAGGAACCACTGTTTTGCCAAAAAAAAAAAAAAATAGCACTTACTATTTAGAAAAAAAAAATCTACTTAGGATTTTCTAAAATAAATCTATGTGAATGTCACTCTGAAAGTTCTATCTGCATTATCCGTACTAAAGATTTAACTGCTGGAAATAAGCCAACACCTTTGTCGATGAGAAACATGTTTAATGTTTGAGGGCCAATTTGAAACAATGTTCTTGTTCTTCCGCTCGTTTTCTCTTTTTTCTATTTTTCCCTAAACTTTTCTGTCTCATGTGGGCTTTTTTAGTCTGTAGCTGCAGTAGTTCGAGAAGAAAAGTAATATGTATGGGAGCCCCGAGTTGACAGAAACCCAATGAATTTAGCTCATCTCAGCTTTGGATTACAGGAGGCTCTTGCGATTCAGATTTAAACATCATTGAAGCAGGGTGGCATGTAAGTTTTCAACGAAGTATAGTTGTTCACATGATCACAACTCTTTCAAGTAGTGCAAACTTATAACGATAGGCACTCAATGAACATCCGTTAGTGAACTTAATTTACACCAAAACTATCGTATGAATACGTACGTTCATATTTATTTGGACTCTTTTATTTCAACATTGTCCATGTTTAATTTTAATTTATTTTTTAAAGAAACTATCACATAAAAGGGCACCTGTTACACACGCCTTTTTTTTTATTTTCTTCAAAATAGCATATATAAAATGATCACTTAATCATTCTATTAATTTTTTTGTGTGTCTTAATTGGACGACAACAGGTTTTTTTCCAGAATTATATGGAGATAAAAGAACAAATTTTTTCATTTATTGGACTGTAAGCATCCCACATTTGTTGATAGTTTAAAATTAAATTAATCACTTTCTCTCGAGTCCTCAGAATGCAGTTAAAATATGACATCATGTATTTATCAGTCTGTCTTCCATCCAACAATGAACAGAGGAATAATTTTCGATCAACAGGATGCTACAAATTGCTCTGTCCAGGCTTTGCTCAAACCAGAAATGAATAAACATTGATCTTTATGTCCTGTTCCTTGATATTATTAGGTTGGTTTAGTATTTGAAATATCATCTCCCTTTTAGTGATCCCTCTTATTTCTGAAATCTTAACTGCTTACATTTGGAAACTGTTCTATGAATTTACTCTCCTTTCTTGACTGAAGAAGAGGGAAGATGTAATTCTACAAAATCTACATGTATCATACATGTATCATAGGATGGTAATAAGAATTGCTTCTACAACACAGATTTACAAGAGTAATAATGGCCAAATTTCCGTGGCATTGCAAACGTTAAAATGGAGTAAAAAAATTCAAGAGGCTGATAATAAATTTCCATAGATGGCCAAATTTCCGTGGCATTGCAGACGTTAACATGGAGTAAAAAATTCAAGAGGCTGATAATAAATTTCCATAAAAACAACAGATTCGCAACAATGATTCTAGATCAGTTCAGTTCAATAACATCTACTCCATCAAGCGTATCAACTTAGAATTCCAAAACGGGAGAAATCTCTCTTGCCTGAAGAATTCAAGTTATAAAGCTCATGTTGAGTTACTAATATATTAGTAATTCTCACCCGCATAGAGTAGCAATCACAACATACAAATTTCTCTTTGACATTTCACCAAACATCTTATATGCATTCACAAATTAATCACATTTAACTTAAACGCCTGGTCTCAAGTCCTTTCCTAGATGTTTCACATGGCTATTAAGCATATTTTACCCATAGACAATCAAAACTACAACCATTTCCTAGATGTTTCAACGGACATTTTCGGCCCCAAAATTGCAATAAAATCTTCAAATTCTCAATCTTGATTTCCCAAGAAAATCTTGACAAACAAAACAAATGAAATATAAATAAATTACAGCAATATAATCAAACGATTTCAAGAGAACATGATGATCTAACCTCGTCACTGCTATTTTTCATATGCTCTTTGGCTGGCTACCACCGTCTCTAACCCTTTTGTTGTGTCTGCATATGGCAGCACTCAAACCCAAACGAACGATGAGAAAGGATAGAGGGAAAGTGTGAACTAAAGATGAAAATTTTGAAGTGAGAAGATTTATTCAATTGTAACAAAGACAAAGTGTGGACCAAAGTGAAACCTTTGCCTGGGAATTCAATCGTATCATTGGAACTGAGAACTGAATAAGAAGAAGGTAGATGACTTTAAAGAGAAAGGTGAAACCCAAAACCGTTTTCAGGAATCCAAAATCGTTTTTTTTACTTAAATATGTACATTTTTTATTTTTAGTATTAGTAAGTTTAATTTAAACATAAGTAAATTTTGTCAAATAATAAGTAAATTAAATTACTCAAAGTGCAAATTTCTGTTTCTGCAGGCTCCGTTTGATAACACTGAATCTGAATTCTGAATTCTGAATACTGAAATAATTAATTTGCTGAAATTTAAGCACTGAAAAGAGATATATGAATGTCTGAATCTTAATGCTGAATCTATTTATACTGTTTGATAAATATTCATAACTTAATGCTTAATAAGCTAAATTGTACAATTTTGCCCTTCTATCTTTTAATCCAAAAAAGGAAATAGAACCTATGATTTAATTAATTTAAAATTGTTAGGTATGAAAATGACAATGATTGTGAAGAGCAATTCATACAATGACAATGTTTTTTTGTGTGGGAAAAGGGTATAGTTTCATCGTTTTGAGAATGGGAAAATGAGCTTTTAATACTCCAAAAGCACGTTCAATTACATTTCTCAATCTTGCATATGCTTGGTTAAAGCGTTCTTCTTTTGATCTTGGACGAGAAGCATTTCGAAAATCAGACAACCAATATCTAATATTTCAATATGGTGTCATAAAGCCACGTGTGTGTGGATAAGTTGCATCACATAAATAATATTTGTCTGCACAAAAAAATATCAAAATATAAATGTTTGTGGATGAAAATTACTGCAAAAAAATACTATTGTTAAAAAAAATTTTTGAATAGAGAATATCAGGTTGTTTTGTTTAATTAGATAAGGATTTTGAATATGGAATATTAGTTTGTTTAATTAAATAAGGATTTTGAATGTAATTAACAAACAGGGATATATTTGGTAGATAAGATAAAGTAGTTGAAGTAAATCTCTTGATTCTTATCAAATTAAGCATTCAGCTACGATTCTTGTGCTGAAAAAAATACATACAAATTCAGCACCACTTAATAAGTTCAGCAGGTGAATTTTTATTTATCAAACACCTACAACATCTGAATGTCTGAATGAATTCAGTTTCAGTACTTTTTTATGTTATCAAACAGGCACTAAATCTTATCTTTCAGACATATACTTACTAGTTTTAATTAAAAACTTACTAAAGTTAATATTAATTATTTTAATATAATATTTAAAAAGTCACTAAAAGATTTGATCTGTCACTAAAGGTAATAGCAACCTATAATAGCAGATTTTCCTAATATCGTTACCATAATTATAGGCATTGTAGCACTGTCCTTTTTTTTTCCCTCTTGGTTTGGGTGGTTATATTCTACTTGCTGGAGTTTTACGATTTAGAGTAGAATGAATTTCTGTTTGTGACACGTGGCTGATGTTTCTTTGGGTTTGGCTTGTTAAATTGCAATTGGAGGTTTTTGGGCTGGGCCGGGCCTGGCTCAAACCGATTATGGGAGAATGAAATGAAGGCGTGAATAATTATGACATTCTATAGGACATTAACGAGTGAAAAATGATATGATGTTAAATAAAATTTTGTACATTGTGAATTTTACACTTGGAGGAGATATATTATCTGTAAGTCAGCTTCTTAATAGAGATGATGATGATTTTACTACAATAGGATTGGTAGAGAAAGGCATTTTACTACAATAGTGATGATAAATTTTTATTTTCTTGCATTAACAAAATATTTTTTCTAACTCCCTTTTTAGTTCACATATATCATATTAAAAAGGTGTTACAGTATTTTTTTTTAAATTAGTTCTAATAATGCTAAGATTTTGGATGTAAATTGAGTTTCAATAATGAAAGCTAGCAAAGTTATCCTCATGTTTAGTTACTTAATATAAAAGAAATCAAAATTGGAAAGGTTACTAACTTCTATGTTAATATGGAATCACCTTTCAAATAGTTATAGTAGGTCGAAACCTAGTGGCTCTAATCATATTTTGAGCCAAAACTCAACCCATTTTTGTATTTGGCTAAGAAATCCAGGTGGTGCCCAATTAATAACTACTCCAACTATATTTCCGACAAGCAAATTTTAAGGTAGCTTGACCTTTGTGGCTACAGCACCACCATTCTTTTCCTTAAAGCAAGATCAAGGGGATGAGGACCTCTATAATTGTCATGAGAAATGTAAATTTAGGCTAATGGTTGATGTTATTCTATGTAAACTTTAAATCATTGTATTTTTTTAGGGATAAAATTCTGTAGAGGTGTTGTGGAACTCACAAATGAATGATACATTTGTTACTTAGGATATAAATTTGTCGTTCAATGATTTAATTCTAGAATACCATTGAAACATGCAATTATAGTAGTCATTGATCCCATGCAAACACTTTCACAAGAAACTATTTATTTTTATGGAAGATGAGTCAAGCTGCAAATTATGAAATGGAACACTCTCTCGATTCAATATTGATTCATAGACTAAGGTGGATTCCTAATATGATTACAATTAAGCGTGCGCAACAATTGGTTTGGACTAAAAATTGTCTAAATCAAATGATATTAGGCTTTCCAATTCTTTTTCTGCATTCAATAAAATTCTATATTTGGTAATATAATTTTATCACGATTTTAAGATATTGAATTTGATTTTGATCAAAAAATTGAATCTCTTGATTTTCGAGCGTTTTACACATAAAAAACCATAAATCAGAAAGGTTAAAGGGCGTGTTGAACTAGACTTTATTTGTAAGAAAATAAGCAAATTTAAATCCCAATGGACTTCTATAACATGAATGGTAAAGCTTAAATTGGTTTCAATTGCAAAACTAATTTTGAATTTGGTACAGGAAAAATGCTTTTTTTGGGGGATGGACTAACTTGGTCCCCACTGTTTCAACTTAGACGCATTTTTTACCAACTAGAGATAACAGATGTTCAGTCACTTAATTTAGGCCAAAATTGATGTCCACTCAATCAATTTGGATGGAACAAAATACATGAGGGCTATGCAGGAATGCACTGGTAGGAAGAACACTCGTGGGAATTCATCAAAATACCCATTTCTCATCCATCCGTTTCTCACTTTCCCCTTTGTCGTGAAATCCCTCTACTTCATGAACCCTACAAAATTAAGAAATAAGTCTTTATCAACTACAGTGAATCAAGAAGATCAAACATAAACAAAGTCAACAATAGTGAAAATCGACAATTGATTGGCTATATTGCAAGGATTTGAAGCATAATATCAGTTTTAAACAAGAGTTTAATAATTGGCCCATCCCAAATTATGCTAGCATTCCCTTCGTTTAACAATTGGCTCATAAGAGTTTTGATAATACACCTTTTTTTTTTTTGTTATTTTTCAGCATATTGTTAGTTATATAGTACTGAAGTGGCTCCTTGTGATTAGGTAATAGATGTGCTTTGTTGTTTATACATGGTTAGTATTTAAATAATGCAATATTCTTCTTGTTTTTTTTTTTTATCATTTATGGATTAAGTAGTAAAAAAATTGTCTTTTATGCCTGAACTATTGAAGATGTGATTCAACCCTAAATGTGAAAATGCAACAAAAATCTATGATTTGTATGTTCTATGTTGGTAACATGAACATGTTGATGCTTTTTCTTTTTCTTTTATTAGCAAAAAGTGGTCTCTTAGGTCTCAAGTGTGGAAAATGTGGTCCAATCCTCCGTGTGAAAATGCAACAAAAAATATTTACTTTGTCTATCTGGTGCTGGTAACATACACGTGTTGATGCCTTTTCCTTTTCTTATATTACCAAGAAATAAAAACCACTTATTATGATGAGATTTCATTTTGGCAATTTGATTCCTCATACACCTCATGCCTAATATGAAGGTGGAGAATTATGTGTACAGAATTCACTACATGGAGAGTGTGGATTTATGTAGATTTGAAATGGATAGATTATGTGAAAACGTTCATATTTTGCAGGTACAAAAAATATTATAAGTGGGAAGATAGCAATTTTAGATGGTTTGATTCTAGTAGCGAGTTACATATAGATATTGAGAGAAATATTGAGCTAACTAGGAACATTGATTTGTATCTTGAGGTCATGAAATTTTAGTGCGACAACTTATTATAATTCCTATTAAATTGACAATAAAGCAAATGAAGAGTAAAATGGTAAAGGTAATAATTTTGATCATGATAGAAATGTGATGGTGGTAGTGGTGGCAACCAAATCCATGGTAGTAAATCCGAGACAAGTAGTGGCACATATTTTTTTGTAATATATTCTGATTATAACATGAATGATGATGATAATAATGATGTTTTACACTATAAGAAAAAAGCGCTTAAGTGGCATTTATTCTAGTGGCATTTATTCTAGTGGCATTTTGAACAATAATACCACGGTAATAGATTTTGATAATAACTTAAGAGGAAAATACCTTTAATAAAATAATTTGCTATGATGTCTCGATAACACTTTGCTTTTAAGTGTTGATAATACTAGATATACTGGCAATGCTGTGGCATTCAATCATAAAGTGCTATAAAAGAATGTCATTTAGTTAAAAGTGCAAGTGATACTAATTTTAGTAAATAAGTGATTTTCACAAAAATAAAAGAAATTATAAAAAAATGATAGGAATAGAGCGAACTGGTAAATCAAATATGAACTTTTAAAAAACTCATCGATAAATTAAGCCTAAAACTAAATCTATCTCTATCTCTTGTCACTTTTTAAAAATTCTTTCCTAATTTTCGATCATCTATATTAACAATAATTAGGGCTTACAAAAATCATAAGTTCTCAGTCTGGAAACTATTAATTTGATGGCATATGGATTATCTATTTAGCACTTCATATTCAAGT